GCGAGTCAGGGACCTGGAAGCGCCTGGTCCCATTAAGGTTTTAACCTCTGTTCCTGTTCCTTGTCTGCCGGTTCCAACCCGGTTCATGTTTTTAATTCCTTGTTTGGATGGATCACCTGGCTATGGACTTTCTTGCGTTTTTGGATTCCCTCTATGGATTACTTTTGGATTTTTTGCCTCGGCCACACCTTCCCCGTGCACCAGCGCACTTTGGACACGCCCCCCTGTTTTCATCCCCGTATTCCTGCATGATTTTTTCCTAGTGTTTCCCCACTTCTTCGGATTGTGTCCTCCGCATAGGGTCTGGAAAGAACTGTTCGTTACATACAGCTTCTGATGCCAAACACTGAATTCCTCTGATTTTTTCACTGAGATCTTTTAGCTTTATACTGTACACTTCTGCTGACCTGTATCTCTTGTTGCACTGTCAGCTGGAGAATGGGAATTGTGGGAGTCATCTACAGTAGCTAACCTGCCTCTACCAGCTCCTCAAAGTATCACACACTGTTATACAAAAAATAATTGTTTGCTACTGAAATAAAGGTTTGTGACTACCCAAATGCTGTGGGAATGTTGTAAGGAAATATCTCAAGAACATGTGAAATTTTAATACATAGAAAATAGCTTTGTCAAAGCAATTTACTTTTTGAAATGAAAGCATAAATTTGGAGGAATACTAAAAAAACTGTCAACTTGAATATCTTGTCTTTATTAAATTTAGTTTGACATGTTAAAATTGGAAAGAATGAGAAAAGCTTGAGAGCTGTCACCAAATGTATTCCAAATCTAATGATTGTGGAAATGCAAAGGACTCGCTCATAAATTTCCAACATGTCAAGACCCGAAAGAATGTTAGTCCATTTTACAAAATAAATTGGTTACCTAACAGATACAGAATATCTTTGCAGTGGCATCAATGCTCACTGCAGTTAAAGAACTACAGGTCAACTGTACCACATATACTGTAATGCATTTATACTTTAATAGCAAGAAAATACTGTCAATACTGTTAGTTATGACACATGGCATTTAAATTCTAGTCCATGTCTTCAACAACAAGTTGCCCTCATAGATTAAGTTATGAACATCTGGGCTTTTGAACTAATGGGTTTAAAACAAAATGTCAATGTGATAGCTATACTTAATAGGAACAAGTAAAAGGTTTATTCGATGCTGAAAAGAGAAGAAAAATACAACGTTTTTGCTGTGGAGCATTCTTTGGGTGTGAACCTACTTTAGCTATACTTAATATTTTTTCTTTTTATATTTGCAAGTATTGAAGCCATCATAAAGCACATGGAACACTAAAAATGCCATCTTAGGTTGTATGTATTTACTGCTCTGTCACTAAATACGTCCCTTTTGCAGTAAGGTAGTGAATTTAAAAGTATCAGACTATATTATATAGTTTCATAGTAACTGCAATGTCTTTTGAAAGAGATCTTGTAACTTGCTCTTCCTCTTTGACTGCTTAGTGTTCCCATCCACTGGACATCATGTGGTGTACATTCACTGCTTAGTTACTGTGTGCATCTCATTCAATTAAAATGCATTCTACATTGATTGTAAAGTATGTACTGTACATCAAAACGTTAAGCTTTTTAAAGGAAAATTATCATTAAAAATATATAACATCATAGTTTGTTCATTAATATATTAATTTAAACACAAAATATCTAAGTGGGACATTTATAATGCCAACCACTAAAACAGGGCAAGTTAAAAAGACTGGAAACGTCAGTGTTTTGGGGTTTTGTTTAGATAAAAAGAGAAACTTATGCTTTTATCCCACTGGAGACTTGTTGCAGATGGTCTCATTTTTATGCAGAAGAAAAATTCATCTCTATATTTGCATTTGGTCAATTTTCCCTTTAAGTTGGACATCTGTCTCTGTTAGAAATTAATCTGCCGATCCCTAAAGATGGATCTTAGAATTTAATTAATTGTGCGGAAGCATCAATAAACTGAATGTAAATGTGTGCAGTGTGTGTGTCAGGATCCTGATTTGCTTCCATCTTCCTTTCTAATTTGAAAGCTATTGCACCGTTAAACTTTTTATAAACCAGCAATAAGCAGTGCTTTAGATAATTAAATGTAGCTGTTTATGTAATTTTCAAAATAAACATGTCTTGATTAGCTGTCATTTCTTTCCTATCCTATCACTCCACTTGCTATTAAAATAATTTAGACAACAAAGATGTATGTTTTTCTCTTGCTTTGACCTTACAGTTGGTTTAAAAAAATTACGTTTTCTGCACACAATGGAGGGCTGACTTTTTAAAGAAAAAAGTACAAGACATCATTAATCTGCAATGGCAATACAGTTACTTTTATAGGCCCAGTGGGGAAATATAGAAGGAAAGCACTGTAGCCCTGAGAATAATCTGTAAGTGACAACAAGAGATATATCTGCCCTGAGGCTGGCAGTTTGTCTTCCAATGTGCCAGAGTAACCTTGATTTACAGTAGTTTTAAATCAGGCCTTTGTCAGGGATGATTGACCTGTGATTGTGGAGACACTAATGCAATGCTAAAAGGAGAACAAAGCTCCTGTCCCTGTGTGTTTTGTCATTTTGCTTAGACCATAGACGTTTATGAAGCCTCATCTTCATCTGTTGATAACAACTATAATATTTCTAATGACTTCAGCCACAGAGATTTCCTGGTTTATGGATATTTCACCACAATCCATTTTGGAGTAGTCCACTGGTGTTCATCAATGCAAATCCCTGTGCCAAAGTAATTACTAATGTGGAGGATCACTGCTTTGACTTTGTGTCTGAATTGCACTCATAGGTGGTGGAGTATCAGGAAACATTAAGTAAATACTGTATCTCATATCTAATGATCTAATAGTTGTTAAAACAGATTTTTAATTGATGCAAAGTAACACATTTTATGTAAATTGTGGTTATTCTACATACAGTATGTAATCTTACGTAGTTTTACACATCAATTATTCTAATAAAATAGGGCTTGCTGGTCCTGTTCCTGGAGATGCACAATACAGCAGATTTCATGCCCCATTAAAGTGTCACCCATATGTGTCCTCAATTTATAAACATCTAGAATATTTTAATTGTGACTACTGAAGCAGATGATTTGTTCAATTAAGTACAAATAATGTGAAATGAGAACACTAATAATTTGTCATTTGCAGTCACCACTATTTGCCATTTCTTATTTAATTGAAACAAATCATGTATTAAGTTAATCAAAAATTCACATGAGTTCAAAGGTTTTGCAAAATGATTATTAAAGTGTCTTATAAACTTTCCTAGACTGGCTCTCCAGGACAAGGGCTGGCCATCACTATTCTTCTGTTTAGATTTTAGAAATATTCAGAAACTTTAGAATAGAACTTAAAAGTTTTCATTTTAATTTTATGAAGGTTTATATTGGATTTGTTTTTTTTGAGAGTTGAGAGTATTTAAGTAGGACAGGGGAAAAACTGAATGCTGAAACTTTATTGCTGTTTGAGAAATGGGTAAGAGGATGTAATTATTTTGATACTTTCATTTTTGAGATTCTTTCTTAAAGAATTCAGTTTGTTTTATAGCAAATTTTTATTGTTTGCATCTAAATAATTTTTTGTGGCATTATCTGTATTTAGTGTACAATGATTGTTTTCTTACTATTTAGCAAGAAATATTTATTTTACAACTCTTTGTATATATCTGTAGGTAATTTAAGCATCTAGTTATAGACCTAAACCTAGGGCTATATAAAAATGTTGTTCATTTAATTGTAGTTTTAGAGGTTTTTAAGTATCTTCTTTTTTGAGTGATTTAGGTCCCTTTTCACATCTATTTGCATTTATAGCACAATTACTAGCGTAGTCAGTACTGTGCACTATAACAAAGGACCACTAGTTACTATTATCAGACCCCAAAAATCCTATTTTGCCGTTGGCCTTCACCTTTCTTATAAATTGGCATTTGTTACAAACCCATCAGTTATTGCTGGAAGGTCAATACTGTCTAGAGTTCTGGTTTCATCATAATGTGCCTTGTTTATTTCTTGTAAACACCAAGTTCTAAATTTACAGTGGTAACGTTTTAGTAAATTGACGTTTTTCAGTAGTTTCGGCAAGTTCTAATAATGGAGCGAGCTGAAGAATATAAAGGGATAGCATAGTTAATACTCACCTGGCTAAGGAAATGACAACCCTGCCTGATTTATGAGGAATGAATCGGGGAGGATGCTGCAAGGGTACCTTTGGGGTGGAGGGAGGGGTGCTTAAAAAATGTGTAGAGTTGTGTGCAGCAGGCAGATATTTATATACTGTATAGGAGAACTGAAGTGCAAGACAGGAATTCGACCTTCTCCCAGATGTCTATTAACTAACACCATTTTGTAGTTTGCGTTTTTTTAGGACACACACTGGCATTACAAATTTATTAATTGTTCATTAAATATGCTTTACTTTAGTTCTTCCCTTCACCCATTGGTCATTTGCTTTAATACTGACAAATTAAATCAGGAATGTTTATCACAATTACACAACCACTTTTTTGCATCGGCTCTGGCATAGGTGCTATTGTATCCTGGCTTTTTTGGGATAGCTTAATAGTATTTCCAAAGTCCATATAAATATAAGTCCATTGTTGACATAGTTGATACTTTTTTATTTTATTTTTAATTTCTTTGAGTATTATCTCATATGTGATAGCCAGTTACAAAGATCACTCAGTAACTTTCCTATTACTGTTTAACTTCAAACTTGATCTTGTTCTTTTTTGGAACAATGACAGAACAAAGATGTAGCATATTGAATTCTTCTATTGTTACAACAAGGCTTTACCTACCAAGGATAGAAAGCGAACAGCATACTTTTATATGTCAATAATGCCATATTCTTTAGTTTCAAGAAAGACAAAGGAAATTGTTCATTTTTTTTCGATGTGATTTCCACTATGTGGTTGTGCATATTAAATTACTTCAGAGCTTTTGGGAAACAGTGCTTTTTTAACATTCTTGACTATGTTTTCTTTTCTTTAGGTGACTGAAACGAGGACAGGCCCTCTTGGATGCAGTAACTATGACAACCTGGATTCTGTCAGTTCTGTTCTGGTTCAGAGTCCTGAAAACAAAATTCATTTACAAGGTATAAAATTAGCCTAGGTTGCACTTTTTGCTGGCATGAATAGAACTCAGTCTAATGCTGTAAAGCAAAGGAAGAGTTGGATAAAGAAGTATAATAAAGGGTTTAACACTGACAATTACAAATTTGTTCACCCTCTGTCGACCATTTCCTTAAAGCTCGATTGCATTGCTCACTCTCCAGCAGTTCTAATTTGCTTTTAATACAGCCAGATTATCAGGGCAAGTATAATATTGGCTAAGGTTTTAAATCAAAATGAACTTTACGTAATGGTAGGTTGGCTTTCTTATCTTGAAAAGTACTAGAAAATAAATGAAAAATAAAACTCTGCTTATCCAGAAAAATATCTTAAATAGATTATATATACTGATGGAAAAAGAAATGCAACACCTCCTGCTCCACACTCTGGCCCTCCCGTCTGCGTGGAACAGGCTGAAGAATGACTCATCCATGAAGAGGACCTGATACCAATGCTGATGAGTCCATCGCAGCCTCTGTCTGGCCCAAGCCAGTCATGTGTGAGGTCTAGGAGGTGTGAGCTGAGGGCCTCTGACAGGTCGCCTTGCTCTAAGGCCCACAGCACGGAGCCTCACTGTCACTAATGCATTGTGTCTGCCAGCTGTTTCAGCAGCAGTTCGGGTGGCCAATCTGTAATGATCTCTCAGATGGACCAGTCTGATGTGTCAGTTCTGCTCTGGTGTGGTCACTCATGGGCAACTGGATCTTGGATGGTCATTTGTCCTGCTGGTCTGCTGAAACCTTCTCTGCAGTCAGGACACAGTGGAGCGGCTTATTCAATAGTGTCTGGCAATACTGGCACATGACATGCCTGCCTGCAACATGCCAATGGCCCTCTCCCTTGCTTCTGGTGATATTCGAGGCATTATGGATTACACAGAAATCTACCTGGACCTCATTGTGTAAAAGTGCACCTAACGAGCTTTCGTGTGATTGGCAATTTGCAGTGCTTCACTACACAAGCTGTATTGCTGTCAGTCAGAGGACTTTATACAAATTGACACCATTTTTTAATGAAAATACATAAGCTATAACTATAGTATTCTCAATGCTGCATTTTTTTCCATCAATATATATATATAGGATACTGTGCCCTGTGATACTGTACATGGACATCCCATCCAGGGTGTACCATGCCTTACTTATCCATGACCCTGAAGTGGATGATCCTGAAGTGGATCAAGCAGTTAGAAAATGGATGGATGTATATATTTTAACTGCTTGGATATTGTACAATGTGAAAAGGTTTTTTGTGACATAAAATATGAACTGTGTACAAAGACTAACTCAAATATTTGTATGTGCAATGAAAATTCAGAGGCATCGGCTATAGCATGGTTTAAATAATTATTCTCAACACTCAACACTCAACAAATTATTTTCTTTGAAAACTAAATGTTTTCAAAGCAAATAATTTTGCACGATTACATTTTTGATTGTTAGTCTATATTATTGATGTCACAGAGTGTATGTTAGGGAATCTATTTGGAGTATCACAGAAAATAGTGTTAGGGTTTAAATGTAAATACCATAGGTAGGGAAATCTACTTGAAGTAGAAATTAAGTAGACTCACTTATCCATTCATTTTGTTAACTTGTTCCCAAAATTTTGCATAAAGTTGCATCCATAGTGATGGCATAATGTGCTGTGAAACATTTTTTTGGACAAATCAGTAAAAAATAGTGGAATAGCAAGTGAAATTATTTAAGTATTCTCCATGTAAATTGTGTTCTTTCCCCTGTCTTTTTATGAAAATAATTGTTTTTAAAATGAATTAAGTATTATTTATTTATATTTTGTGTGAAGAAGACAATTATTTTAAGAAGACGTGATTTTGTTTGTCTTATTTTGTAAGGACTACAAGTCGTGTTACCGGACTACCTGAGAAATCGCTTTGTTCAAGCTGCTCTCAGTTACATTGGTTGTAATGCAGAGGGCGAATTTGTCTGTAAAAACAATGACTGCTGGTGCCATTGTAGTACCAGGTTTCCAGAATGTAACTGTCCAGACATGGACATCAGAGCAATGGAACAGAACTTGTTGCACATTCAAGAAGCATGGAGAGCAGCCAGTAATGAATTTGAAGAATCAGGTATGAATAAAGACAGTTTTTAAAACTTTTAGAATTTTAAAAGCCAGAAAGTTTTACATTCAAGGGAACAAGTGTATAGCAAATTAGGATACATAGATTCATTTTCTTGTTTTTGTATTTTATCACATTTTTGTTATTTTTATGTCATTATCTGTGGTCTTTTGTTATCAACAGCAATCTTAAGTCATGAATTGCGAATTATGTTTGTCCATATTATAAATTGACCCAATAGCTTTACACCACAATCAAAACTGTACTAAACAAAAACAACACAGGAATTTGTGCTGAAGAGACAGTAGTTTTGCAGCATCTTCCTCCCTGTGTATATATTGTAACAAGACTGCAACAGTCAACACTTTTTTTTCAGATGATTTCAAAATCTTTGTGAGAAGACTACCAACATTTTATGCTTTGAACACTTCTGCTATTCATCACTTCTGGAAGATAGATTCCAGCATTCAACATCGCTATAAACAGCTGGAGTCAAGTACAACTCTGCTCCTCAACAGGGCACAAAGAATTGTTAATAGGCTTTTTAGCCTAAGTAAGAGGTGTCGTTCGCAGCCTAAAGTAGTTGTACCAAGAGAAAGGTAAGGATTATTCTATTTTAGTACTATGGTTCTATAAAATGATATGTGTAGCCCTATAATACTGAGCTCATTAACACTTCTTGTGAATATTAAAAAAGGAAAATATCTTCTCTAAAAGAATTCTAAACCAAACAAATTTGACAAAACAATCAGGAATAAAAGTGTCTGTCCTACGCTTATTGTCATGTAAAAGAAGAGACATATGTTTTATTTATGCTATCTAAATATAGATGATTATCTGTATTTCCATTTATTTTATGCTACATTCTAAAGAGTAAAAATATTATACGTACTGTATGTCATGTAGTAATAGTTTTGAAATTACTCCCATGACATTCTGTGTACTGGTTTATTATCCTGTTCATATGTTTTGCCGAATACATTATGGATATATTGAAATCTCCAGAATCCAATAAAAGCCTACAATATATACTGTAGCCTGAATGAAGATCCTCAATAAAAAAAACATGCAAAAGGTATAGTAGGGGAAGCTAAGTGAATTATCAAGGTTTCATTGCAGCTGTACAAGCCATATATCATGCACTTTCAATATTCATTTTTATTACATTCTACTTAGTTATTTCACTATCTTAGATTCGTATAACATATACAAAATAGTTTATATCCTGAAAATGGGGATATCTAAATTCTTCATTTTTTTCTCACTTAAAAATGCTGACAGGCAGCAAGCATTTCATCTATTACCACCCACTTGCTTAGCTCTTGTCTCTCAAGGAACAAATTTCAATGAATATTTACATATTCTTCTGGCATAGCTCATGCTGGAAAAAGAGTTCTATGTTTGTATGAGGAAGTAGGAATGTCTCCATATTTGTGTGACGGATCTTGTGGTTCTGAATATTTGTTCAAATGTTTTACAACACAAAAATCTGATTATCACAGCACAAAAAAGAGTTTAGCCAAATGAGCTAGTTTATGTTTCTCCATTATAATAAAAGTAAGAATTATTCTATAAAAAATACAAGTACATACGGTACAATCTCCACAGAGTCTGTGGAAACCTAGTGCCAGCAGAAGAATCTACAGATTTCTCTGGCATCACTGAAGGCCTGCTCCTTACTGAGGGGGCACTGTTCATGAACAAGTTCAGGTAGTTTGAGATAATTATATTGTATCAACAATATATTCAGCAAAGAAGATAGAAATCTTCATCATCCACTCTGATGCATATGGTATTATACAACTGAACGTTAATAGTAATCATGTAAACAAAGTCCATGCAAACATGGTTTCGATGTTTCTATAAGTTAAACTACTAATATTTTCTAACTCTTTGCACAATACCTTACACAAGAGAAATCTCAAAGGGATTCATGATAAAAGTTCATATTATTTCCAGTCTAATCATGTCAAAGACCTCATCAGTGTCGAAACCCAAACTTTCTCTGTTTTTAATTCCTTTTTTTTTTTGTTTTGATTAGGTCTCTTAACTATTGGCTGAATCATATTCAGTCCATTTTGTACTGCAGTGAAAACAATCAAATTGGGACATTCTCTGAAGAAACCAAAAGCTGCTCGTGTACCTATGATCATCCTACTTGTCAAGGAATTATCCCATGTACAGTTGGGGATGGCCCTCATTGTGCTTCTTGTTCATATGAAAACCGCACCCGATGTGGAAGTTGTAACTCTGGCTATATGCTTAGTCAAGGTTTGTGTAGGCATGAGGTACCTGATTCCACTGACCACTACATTGGTTTTGAAACAGACTTACAAGATCTGGAGTTGAAATACCTGCTTCAGAAACGTGACAGCCGGATTGCAGTCCATGCAATCTTCATCAGCAATGACATGAGACTGAACAACTGGTTTGACCCAACGTGGCGAAAAAGGATGCTTCTGACATTGAAGAGCAACAAATACAAATCTAATCATGTCCATATGCTCCTGGGATTGTCTGTTCAGATCTGCCTGACCAAAAACAGTACATTAGAACCAATGCTGTCTGTTTATATCAACCCATTTGGAGGTAGCCATTCAGAAAGTTGGTTTATGCCCATTAATCAAAACAACTACCCAGACTGGGAAAGGACTAAGTTAGATATACCTCTTGACTGTTACAACTGGACATTGACTTTGGGAAACAAATGGAAAACCTTTTTTGAAACTGTTCATATCTATTTGAGGAGCCGCATCAAGTCTGCACCACTCCATGGAAATGATACCACCTATTATGAGCCTCTGGAGTTTATGGACCCATCACAAAACCTGGGCTATATGAAAATAAACAGTTTACAGGTATTTGGCTACAGTATGCACTTTGACCCCGAAGCAATTCAGGATCTGATTCTACAGCTGGACTATCCATATACTCAGGGTTCTCAAGATTCTGCACTTCTGCAGCTTGTGGAAATCAGAGACCGTGTTAATAGGCTCTCACCACCTGGTCAACAGCAACTGGACTTGTTTTCCTGCTTGCTTCGTCATCGGCTTAAGTTATCCACAAGCGAAGTGGTCAGGATTCTAGCTGCTTTGCAGGCCTTCAGTGCCAAGCAACCTATCCCTGTGGAATACGAAACTACCAAATTATGTAGTTAGTAAAAACATACAGTATGGATAACCGCTAGGAAACATTTTGAAATGCTATTTGCATTATTTCACATAGCCGGAGGGTTCTTTAATTTTTTAAGTTATTGTTTCTGGAGTTTTACTTTAAACATTCAACATCTAGAATTATTAAGTTATTGTCATCGGTGATTAATATTTTTTTACAAATATTTGTAAGTATAATGTTTGAAAAATGTCATTGTACAACACTGTACAGAAGGTTTATGAGAATCACTTTGTGAGTAGTTTTTTCTGTCTAATTTCCTTCTCTATACAGTCTGTGCAAAAAATCTGAAGAGTATATGTATTTTAACTTTATTAATATACTAAAGTCTTTTTATGTGCAGTCTATAAATATTTTAAAAAATCACAATTTTGAAATTTCTCATGGTGTTTTTATTTTATAACTATTTTAAATTATAGGAAATGATGATGGTATAGGATTGTTTTCAAATTAATTTCAGTTATTTATTATTAAATATTTTAAGTTAGTCAAAGAAATGAAATTGTATATTTAATAAAATATCACATACCATTAAGTTACTGTACCACAAAATAAGTTAAATATACACTACAGCACTCACAATACAAAAGTTATAAGAAACCTCTAAAATAAAATATTATGTACCTGAATAGTTTTATTAGTAGATATTCAGAAAAGTACACACCTGTGAAAAGTATTTTTGCATTTTTCTACTTTCTCAGTATGTAAGTCTTTAGTGATCTTCTATTTTTTAACTATTTTGTTTCAAAGTAACACAGAATCCTGATAAGTTTGTAGTTTTTTGTAATCTTTTAGCATCAATGACACAAGAGAATGAGTCAAATTAGATTTAATTGGTACCTGTAATTTGACCATTTTAATATGTCCATAGTACTCTTGCATGTTTCTGATTATTTGAATATTGAATATTGCTAAGTAATTAGAGATTAATTTCTTCTCACTTAAACTTAGCAATAGTGATAACAGTCCAAGTAGTAATAATAGTAAAAAAATAATGGAAGCTTTTAGTAAACTGCAGCTCAAAACATTCTGCACATGCAGTGTAACCCTTAATTCTAAGACTTTTGCACAGGAGTGTACTGTACATGTAAATATACAAGAAAGGATTACTGCTGAATGGATTAAACAGATTAGACAGAAATTCACTGCCTTAAAGTTATATAAAAATAGCTGTTACAGGATCAGTGATGTATTAAATGAAATCTGACTGATGTACAGTATGTAACACTTCAGTTTTTTTCTAAATGTGAATAAAACCCTGCTTACAGTGCTTTCTAAACTTCCTCTGAAACAGTTAACTAGCTATTTTAAAAACACAATGAAAGCTAAAATGTTGTGGATTAAGCTTTTTTTTCAGTGTGAGAAGAACCTGCAGAAGGCTCAATGGCTGAAACATTGTTTATTCTTTCTACTTTTTAGCATAATTGAAGTTTATAACAAGAGTTTAGGAGGGATAACAATAGCCATGTTCAATCAGCCTCAACTGTCCTAACTCATAATCATTCCTGACATCATTTCTACATACTTCGCATTTTTCCACTTATGTGGGGTCTGCTTGTTTGCACCGATTTTTCCACTTCGTACGGTCTGCGGCGTCTCGGCAGGTGACTTTTGTGAGGTCCATGTCGTCTTTCAGCCCATCCGCAACAAGCCGGCTGAAGAAAAATTCCTTGTTGCGTCAAAATGCACACGACAACTCAACGACATTTCTACATACTAAAACATTATAAATAGTATTGTATATGCAATCCCCTTTTCTACCTCATACACCAGTACATCTTTTGCATCCCATCTACACCTTTGTGACTCCTTGTTCACTCCTTACTCTGCATGGGGGTTCTAGTCTCTTCGACCTATAGCCAAGAGGTTAGCCCTCAGCCGAGTGGGTTAACAACAATTAAAGTGGGTTAGAGACAGTTAAAATACTAAATAAAAATTTGTTCACATGGTATATCCGACAAATTATGAGATTCTTCTACTTATGAGTTCTCATTTTTATTACCATCCATGAAAAGAACCTTCTGCTAGACCTTATCTACCATATCTACTGGAGAGATAAGTATAAAAGTGATATCAGGCTACTTTCAATATCAATAAAAATTAGAGCTAATTTATATGCATAATATAATACTTTAAAGTATAAGTATATAATAATATAAAGTACTTTTGTTTCTTTTTATTTGAGAATTAACGATTAAATCACAGTGAGTACCTGTTGCGAAATACTGACATGCTGAAATGAACACTTTGTTTTGTATTCAAGGTAGTCAGCTGTTGCGAGATTTAAAATTAGAACACATCCATATGAATTAAATTCCTATATGTCTTATTATTGTTCTTTATTTTCATTTAATGATGAAGTTATATTTACTTATTTCTGTTACATTTTATATTTCTTGGAGAAGTGGACGTAGGCATTTTTTTACACAGCTACTGAAGAGATTTCCACTGAGAACTTATTGTTTTCACATTTGCAGAAGAAACATCAACAGTATATAAAAAGAAAATCACTTTATCCAAAGGTCAGGAAGGTTCAGAAAATTCAGTTTGTAGTGACAGGTAGAGAATAACCTATCTCTAACCCATTCTGTCTTTTTCATTTACACTGATGGATGGGTGGTGAAGAAACAAAGATGGGAAGAGTATCAAAGTCTATTATCTGAGATGTTTATTTTGCCACTGTCTAGTCAGTTACAATCTGTGGACTTTTTTCATTTAATTGATAGCTATCAAATAAGGAGATTTCTGGTCAACACACATATGAAATTCGTATCTACATATTAAGAGGCATTTTGTTTTGTAACTTAAAATTCATATTTCACAATCCTGAAGAAGTAACTCTAAAATGTATTTTTAAAAATAAAACATTTTGCCACATCTGAAAAATTCTACTGGCTTTTTTTAAATGCTGAAGTCCTTAACAAGGTGTATGGCCTTATTTGTGTTAAAACAGATTAAAATTTTCTATGAAACCCTACCGATAATTTGTATAGATTTTAATATTTTGCTTGTTTTAATGCAAATGTTTAACTTAAAATCATACACAACATTGCCAATACTGCTGATAATATGCTATACTGAGGCAACTTAAATCTTTTTAATTGGTAATTCATGTCATGTTATTATGCCTACTCTATTTTTGAAACATTTTCATTCTGATGCGTTGGTCATCAGGTCTGTATCGTTTCTGAATCTTACTGTATGATCTCCCACTAACTTAATGTATAGTGTATATGTAACATATACTGTATGCAACATAACTACCACAGTATGTATGTGGAAAGCTCAGTCTCCGTCATTGAAACCTGGGCAGTGTAAATTTATTCTCTGGCAGGAAATACTTTCTTTTGGCCCAGAGCATTTTGCCTCTGTCTAGGGAGCAACACTGTGGTTCTGAGCCCACAAGCAACTGTGATCCTTTGCTAACGGCAGCTACAAGTGATAAAAATATATAGCCCATGGGCAGCAACACTGACAGAAACATATTGTTATATTTTAAGGAAGAAATTGAAATTCTCCTTATCTCCTAATCTAATGTTTTTCATTATTTTCCTAAACACTTTTTTGTTCAGGACACTTTTTTTGTTCAAACTGATAGCATCATCTAGCATTAGCCAGATTTCCCTTCTCAAACAATATTTTCTTCTATTTTTTTACATGTTGTTAAAAGTGTGAGCATGCAATATTGGAATATAAAATGTATCCAATGTTAATTCTGTTAGTTTCCTGACAATCCATACTGACAGTGTGCAGCATGTGAGCAGACCAGAAAAGCACCGGGCTCTACAACCTGTTCCATTTTATGTTTACACTTTTGATATTCATGCAAGGTAAAAAAATTTTTTTCACTGATCTATTGATTGGTCTAAAGATCAAACAGTGACTGTCTTTAAAATAATTGTAAAGTTCTGAATCTGCATGGTAAATTGAAATGACCCAAAGAGGTGCCAGAACACTGACAGTCTCATATTAACAAGCATGGGTTTTGTCAACCCAATCTTTAAACTAAACCAATCTGATGGTGGACTGAATAGATTTGAGGTAATCCAAGTATAGAGTTGGAGAAGAGCATATGGCCTGTTATTGCATTATAGGCTGCAAACTGGAAATTTCAAACTTGCAGCCTAGCAGGAAAAAACTAAACTACAAAGTGCTGGAGTCTAATGCAAAAACAGAGTAGGAGGATACATGTTTTAATCAAGAATGTGGCTTGTGTATCCCTGTGGGACATTTGTCAGAGTTTTACAAAGGAATATCAGAAATTAATGTCTAAATCAATTAGAGGAAAACAAGTAAAATTTCCATGAGTGTAAGTTCATGAAAATGAGATACTATATATTTAGGCTATTGTAATACTAATCTTAGTAATGTGCACAACACTATACCTTTAAAAACAAAATATAATAAAAATACAGCCTTTTACTAACACACATCTAGTATGTATAAAATATTAAAAGCATATATAAAGCAATTTTGCATCATTGGGAATTTGGCATTGCTCAGCATGTTACTAACAAAATTAAAATAAGTAAACCATAATGTTTTGATGTACTGAAAAGTACTTATTTTATAATTATATTATTTTTTACCTGACATGAAATGTATATGCAAATCTAATTTAAAAGTGTTTAAAAATGAGTGTTCACATAAAACAACCAACATACTAACATACTACATACTAAAGTAGCATGTTTTTATATAGCTTTTCATTTTAAATGAGTCCCTTTTTAATATGCTGCAGGATTTATTCAAAGGTTTTTACTTTGAAGTGCTGGGATCAGATTTTTTTTAGTTTAAATGGCCACCCACAAGAGCTGACTTTACACAGGCATATCTTAATAAATGGATCCAGAATAAATTTAGCAGTAGTAGTAACTAATTTATACAGTATCAATGATCAGGATTTTGGTATGCATAGCTATTGTAACTATTAATAATACAGATTACACAATAATGGATAGATTAGCAAATGCTGTAGAAGTGCAAAGGAAAAATCAAAAAGACTTGATTAAGATGTTGTAAATGTAAAACTTTAAATACAAAAAAATAAAATTCTAGAAAATATAAGGAAGTAATATAAAACAAAGGTTATGTAGTTAAAAGTCTAGATTTTCCTGAAAATCCTTTAAAGGTGGTGTTGTAGTAATATTTTTCAGCAGAACTAGCTCGTCCTGCAAATGTGCAATATATTTCAAGCTCTGAAAGATGTTATATGTTTAATGTTACATTAGATGTTAATGTTTAATCATTCTCATCTTATTAGAAAGCCAATGTTACATGAACACCACGTGGATGTGCATTGTCCTTCTGGAATGATGTTGCATCAGATTCTACTACCCAGACCATCACATTTGGATGATGATGTGTCG